TGGACAGAATCCTTGTCGTGCGTCTCCCAATCCCTTCCTCTCAAGTCTTGCATAATGATGACTGATGTTTCAAAGCAGTGGCAACGGAAAGCTCCCTCATCCGTTGAGAAGCTGGGTATGAGCCGCTCCCCACGGCCCATCACATCTTTGAACGCCCCTTTTTCCCTCAACTCTCCTCCTCAGACATCCATAAAATGGAGGATGTTGATGGAGAGACAGATGGACGCAGAGGCCCTTTTCACTGTGCCTGTCCAAAACTAACTTTCATCCACTTGCTGCCCTTGGGCTTTGATATTCCAGCCAATTTGGTAGTGCAACCAAATAATGGCTTGCTCCTGCTCGTCAAATACTTTAGCCATGACAGATTATTTTAGGATTTCAATTTGAGGCTGTGACATTTGAGAGAAAAAATTGCATCAACAGATTAGCCAATGTTCAGATAATGAATGAGCCAATCTGAGCTTGTTAAGTGTCTATATTAAGTGCATCATTTAAACTGCTCTCAACTACCTTGTCGCAAACCATGCAGTGAAATCCACAACGACACAAAATATATGCAGCTGCTCCACTTCGCCATATGTCGGTGGTAACTCCTTCAGTAGCTGCAGTGATTCTTCTAAAAACAATGTATCACCTCAGTACTGTCTACACTATTGTCTCTCCTCCCTAAAGCAGATGCAGACTGGAACATGCAATAATGAACCATGGAGTAAGTAAACCTGAGTCCATTAAGCCCCGACGGATTGATTCAGCCACTGAATAATGCAGGCATTGAAAAAGACAAATGCCCAATCAATATCCGAAGCCATTGTTACCTTTACGCCGGCTGTATTGATGAAGAGCAAAAGGTCCCTCCCATGTTGTAGTTTGACTGCCTTGTGAGAGAGCAAATCAATTATCTCGCATGGGATAAAGCAAAGAGAGTAAAGCCGTTGTAAAGGCCACATACTGGAAGTCGAGGTAAAAGTAAGACCGACCAGGCTTTTGAACCAGTCAAAGACTAGACTAGCCAAAAAGTGAGTGCTCTCCCGACTTGAGCTAGTCTTTAACCAGAAGCCATTGAATTCGTTTTTCTTTTGTGAGGAGGCAGAAAACATTTCAAAATGAGACCAGACTCAAGCGCCTCGCTGCTGTAACGAATAATTTCACTGCATGTCCAGAGATCAATAAATAATAAGTTGCTGCACCATGTAACAAAACGCCCAGAGTTACTTTCCAAATTCAAAATATCTTGTACATCAGATTTCTGGGCTTGGTGAACTGAATAAAGATGATCTCACCACCGAAATGAACAGTAGCATATGAAATGTCCAGCTTTATGATGCATATCTTTGAAAAGCAGAGTCATGTATCCCCCTGATTCTTAACGTAAATCTGATTTATGCTTGACGCAAAGTCTAATAGAAATCCCAACCTAAACACTTCAACACAGTAACCGTTTACAATCTTATATTAACCTTGTGATACCAGCGGTGATGGGAATGTCAGCTTTGTTTAAAATTGAACATGGGACCATTCAAGCATCACAAACATTATTGCTAGTAGTGTGTTATTCTCCCAATTGGGCCCGGGCGGCATTTTCACCAAATTCGCTCAGGCTTAAATAACGTCACGTTTGCACAAACTCCCTGGCGTTTTTTTTTCCCTCCCACATCGTTTCAGTCTGAAGGAGTCAGAAGTCGCATGTCAGAGATCGTATCATAAACCACTTAAACCATAAGCATGTTAGCATAGTGAAAAAAGCTTGAATTGACTATACACACTTATTTTTATGCAAAAGCTCTATTTACTGATAAGAACATAAGAGCCTTTTTCAATTTGTGCGACTTGCATTAGTAGCATCTCAGCTAGAACGTGGCCTTTACACACTGTCAATACACGGACAACAAAAAATGTAGACTACGCTTTCGTCTACCACACACACTGCTCACCCAGGCATTGGAACAAAGCACAACATCAAATTAAAGTCAATCCCAAATATACTGATGGTACTCATAGGAAAGATATTTCAGCTGCCTCCATATTGAAATCTGATTCGTTCATGAGTCTCAAAACAGCACGTTTAATGGTAATATAACATGAATGCTTCTGTTGAGATTCATGAGTCCAACAGGAAATACACAAGTAAAACATTGAACAAATGGCATATCACATTACATTAAATGTCATTTAGCTGACGCTTTTATCCAAAGCAACTTACAATAAGTGCATTTCAACCATAAGGATACAAATTCAAAAGAAGTAGAAACAAGAAAGTGCAATTTCATTAAAAAAGCCAATTAACAACTTGCTATAGATAAGACCCATTATAAGTACAATTTAAGTGCTACAATTTGTTAGTTTTTTCTGTTGAGGTAGAGTCTGAAAGGCTCTGTTGTTTGCGGCGGAAGATGTGAAGGCTATCTGCGGTCCTGGTGTCTTCAGAGAGCAGTGGACAATCAACATGTAACATGTAAACATGTAAGTATCATAAACATGTATTTGTCACAGAACTTGTGTCCCTTTGACGACTGAGTTATGGGACTAAAAGCTTTTGTCGGAATTGGAAGCTAAGGCTCTTCGAGCTGCAGCTTCCTCTTATTCAAAACACTGCCGACCTCTCAACTTTAATTAGCTCCATTCTCCTGAGAGATTATGACCAGATGCATTTAGTCCCAGCACAGATGGTCATGGAGACGAGACTTCAAAGAAGAATAAGAAGTAAAATAGGGGTTCCTGGTGAGTTTTTGTAAATTTAATTGAGATTAGCAGGTGACGGCGGAAAGGACCTTTCTGCAAATATTTATTTTGCTATTGACTTCTAATTTGGTGGGGGTCCTTTCTTATTTCTTTTTCTGTCACAATTCAACTTATAAGAATTAGTATATTTTTGTTTTCCTACAAGTTATGATTAGTAATGGTCTGAATGCAGATTCAGAGGAGCATTGACATTCCCATAACTCTACATTTTATGAAACATTTGAAATATGTTGCTGGGTTTTCTGTCTACAGATTTATCACAAAAATCAAACTGGTGCCCAGAGGAACTCTGACATGAAAGGCAATGTCCTGGTCTCCTGAGACGCTATATCAGCAAAGACTCAGCATTGCAGGAGTCACATTACAAGATAAACTCATATTGACACTTACGGCAGAATTCATCATTTCAGTCCCCGGACATTTTTCTCTGTTTGCGAACGGAGCCTTTTGGGTAAACAAAATGTTTGTGTGCAGACATTTATGATTATTTAAAAAGGTGAAGATGTCAAATGTTGCTGTTGGGCCGGAGACATTTGTTATGAGGAGAAGGAGCATCAGTACTCACTTCAAAACACTAAATATACTTTGAGTTGATTCTAGTCAATTTTGCAGTGTTTATGTAGCCTGCAAGGAGGAATGGAGCTGCAGATGATTCATCTACTGTATCACTCACTACATCCAGACAAGAGTTCTTTTACGTATCAATCTGTAAAGTTTCACCCTGTCTCCTTTTTTTGTAAATGATTTTACATGACAGCAATCAGATCTTAATTTTGCCTTCCCTTGCACGAGGCCCGTTCTTCACGTCCCAGAGGTCTTATTCCTTCAAGGAATCCACCGGGGCCGGTAAACTCACGGTAAATTATAAATATATGCAGTAACCTTTTCTTTGTGAACTCTGCGCTTCGTCGCTCTCTTTTGTCATATTACACTAGGCAGGTCCAGCTATTGTGAGCCGCCCCGGGTAATTGTTAACCGTGTTCTTGTCAATCAAGCCTATCTGAGGTAGCAACTCCTCAGCCGGCACTACAATGAGCTGCCTGAGCCGCTCCGGCCTTCGAGGCGTAATTGTAGTCCACTCACCAGAAGCCCATCTCCATTCCAGTCGGAAGGTATGGCTGGTTGAAGCGGTTAACTGCAGCCGTGTTCAGTATTTGACATGCGCTGAATAGCTCCTCTTTCTGTAGCACGCGTTTAATTTTCGCACAGACAGGCCAAACAGGAGGAAAGGTAATTGCCTTATAATTGTGTTCACAGACAGAGCATATTTACTTCACTCCATAAATCAAAAAGCTCCAGCAAGTATGTGATAACAATCAATGAGGAGCCTTTGTGAGAGAAAGCCAAAAGAAGTTTCCTGTTACAGCATATTGCTCAGTTTAATATCTTCAGCTCCTCCACAAACTTCATCTAGTCAGCTGCTTGGTGACTTAGGTACTCTGCTAAATGAGAAAACAATGTAACGTGGAAGGCTTCATGCAGGTGTCATATAATACATAACGATAACAAAATAAAAGAGGTGAGATGACTCTCATAGTTGGCGATAGCAAAAAGGAACTGCTGTCGGGGAAAAGCCAATCTGTGAGGAATAATAAGACACTTTCAAACGGTCACCAGAATCTGTAAATGCTTCTGGCTTCAGGAGGGCAGCAAACTATAAAACACCACCCATTCTCCAGCCTCCGTTCAAGTGCTTTTTCAAAGCTTTTTCATCTCGAGATTTTGAAATGGATGCGGCGATGACGTTAAATGAAGGAGTGAGATCTTTCAAGCGTATCCATTCCAATAAGCTAAAGGAGTGCATTTGGATTCAGAATGGTTCCACTCGGCTGAAGAGAAACATTTTCTGAATTTAAACGCTAAACAGTTCTTCAGCAAGCCCTTCGCTCACATGAAGCGTTAAATTCAACTCAAAGCAGCTGCAAAAGAGATTTACATTTTCCGTATATAGGCTTTAGAGCCTTTGGGTTGCTTGAAGATTAGCATTAAGGGGATTTTTCTCTCCTCCACTCCCATTTAAGAAACTTTGCAAAGTTTAATCACAGCTTCTGTTGATGCCTCTGGGTTTTGTATCTTTAACAAAGCATTAACTTTTCTTGCAGCAATTCTCAGAGCAATTTCATCTTCTGTTGAACATATGTGATATTTCATTGAGTTTAAAAAAAAGAGAGAAAGCCCGTTTTCGTAATTATTATTCAAAATCAAATTTTGCCGCATTTGAACCCATTTAAACGGCAGCAGTGTGAGTCTGTGGTCCTTACCCGCATGCCAAGCTCGATGTTCTCGCCTCCGTAGACCTCCATGCCCGGATCCAGCAGGCCGAGCTCACCAAAGTATTCCCTATCCACCACAAAGGAGCATCCGATCATGGCTGGAGTTCTGGATGAGCAGAGAGAGAGAGACAGCATCGTTTCATTATTGAACTTTCATAGACCTACAGAGAATGCTGAGAACATTTTGGTCTCCAAACTAACTAATAAAAACAACTAGTTTGCAAAACTGCACTGGGGTAAAATAAAGGACATCACAGAGGGGAAATTGTTCAATTGGTTGATTATTCTCTGAGGGTTCATCTTTAAAGCTGCATGTAGTCAGACGACAATCCATCATGGTACTTTAACTGTAATTGTTGGGCTTTATAATACGTATTACTAATGTTTTAAGCAATAAAGTACATACAGATGTAGCAAAACTTAAAAAGCAAGCTCAGCTGGTACAGTAAGAGACAGAAAAAAGAAAAGAGGCTATTTTCCACCCTTAGTCAAACAAATACCACCCCCCCCCCCCCCCCCCCCCCCGCCTTTAGCTGATGCCCCCCAGGGCAGCTTTTCTTTTTCATCTGTCAGGTCTTAAGTGCTCTGGGAAAGGAACCACAAAAAGCAGGGCATTCATACAGAGTAGCGAGCTGCGCTATTTTTTTTACTCTAAAGTGAATCTGGATTTGGCGCCCGGGGTGAGTTTACAATGTGTTGTTACACTCACTCTATATGCTGCATAGAGGAGACACGCGTGTGTCCACCTCTTCTGTTAGAGAGACGTTGCAGCAGAAAGTACCAGAAAAGCGTCATTAGGATTCATTGATGCTGTATTTAAAGAGGGCGCTGAGCCAAACCAGCATCAGAACTGAGGGAGGGTTGATCTGTGCTGTGACATTCCAGTTTCACAGCATGAAGTCCTAGTCGCGTAGAATTCTTCATTTCTGCTGCCAATGTCTCAGCTGCCATTAGCTAATTATTTAAAACACTTATGCTCCACATTGAACTGTTACTATGACAACCCCGAGCTTGCTAACAACTAATCTCTGAGTGACTGATGGAACCTTATAGAGTCCTTGTTTAAATGTAAAGGTGGTGACAGGAAGGCTTTCAAGTGCTACTATTTGCCATCGCTATGCAGATAAAAAGACAGACGCAGCACATACTGAGTTCAACTCATCCTTTCTCCTTCCTGACAAGTGACCTACCTTGCTTGTCTGCAGGGTACAAACTTTGCGCAACTCCCTTTGAGCGTTCTCTATAGAAGAGCTTCCCTGCCATGTAAACACTGTCCCTGTGTTTGAGCAGGGACTCAGCAACTTCAAACTTATTATTTTAAAGAAACATCCTCACACTGATTTAAGTTTAAGTGGGTCCTGTATTGGTTATGTTAATGGAAAAGAGAAAAGGAGAAACAATATCAGATCTTGTTGGCTCTCATTAGTTCGGTGTGGAAGGTTATCAAACATGAAATTTGAAGGGATGACAAAGCAAATTCCCCAAATGCAGCCAATTTACTGGCGCCAATAAAAGGAGTAATTAGAGCCTGCTGTTGATGCAAAAAATAAAACTTAAATAGAGAGGCTGAATACACTGCTTTTCCACTTTAGGTTTCACCAATTAGAGTTTCACTCCTGACCAGCAATTTTGCAATTTTGAGAACAAAAATCAAACGCAGATAAAACCATAGAAGACCCAAAGGTACCGACTTGAACATCGACGAAATGCTCAATAAGCATTGAGCCACACATGCTGCTTCGTGTGACCCTGCCATCACTTGAAGGTTAAATACAACACAATCACCAGGACTTTCTTTCAAGTAGGAATGACACACCCAGCCATTGTTCTCCGTGTGTTGCCTGACAACACTTTGATTCACAAGCACTGGTGTTCTTGCTCTTTGTACGTCCATGTTAAAAACACACAAGATTGCTCAAGAGTTTGTCACAAAATAACACACACGTACTGCATTAGACACGGTGAAGCACTCCTGTGCGGTTTTATCATTTAATGTATAAAGGTTAGTTAATTTCAGTGTGCAGATGGCCAGCCTGCAGGGATATTATTTTTCAGATTACTTCTCTCCGAGATGCAGGCACTGCCTTTTTTTGATGCTTCAGCTAAATCATGAGAGCAGCAGATGACCACCTCGAGAAATTGCACAGATTTTTGAAGTGAGCACTTCGTATAAAGCACTACCCGAATCCATATAGATGTTTTTTCTATTAGGAATCAAATGTCTCTGTGATTTCTCGGAGGCATTTCAAGTTCGGATATCCAAACCACTCTGTGGCCATTTTTACTACTTTCCGTACAGTAATTGCCGTATCTGCAGAAGAAAAAATATTCCTGTTATACTGCAAAAGTGGTTGCAATCCTGTGGAAGTACTTTAGCCTTCTTGTGATCCTTTACGCGGTTTGTCGTTGAATGTGTCCAAACAGCCAGAAAGGGCTTTGAGACTGATCTCTGAATGGCCTCCAGGCTTCGCTTGTTGATGGGCAGAGACCTTGAGGAAACAAGGCGGGGAATGATTTCCAATAGAAATCCGCACAGCCGACACACTTCATCTGGCCCTCAAGGCAGACTTCCTATTTGCAAGTGTGAATGGGCAAACACGAGATCAGCTCTGCAGTGTTTCAGGCTGTTTTATCTTTCCTCCCTCTCAAGACGAGCACGTCATGCCTAATAATACATGGTTTTTGATCTTATATTTGGATCCACGGTATAAACTGTTATCATAATGTTTGCTTGTACAAGACCAAACTTATTAAAAGGCATAGATACAAATACAAAAATATTCTATTCGATCTAGAACAACCTGGTAGAAACGCTTGTATACTGAAGATGTTTTACTTAAGAAATTTATTAAATAAATTTATTTTACTTTGTGCAATGCTTCACCTTTATTGTGATCCCCCAAATCAGGGGCCATTTGGTGATGTTGAGTGAACTACTTAGTGGCCCTGATTCAATGTTCCACATTTCACTGGTCTCAAATCCCTATAAAAATATAACTGGTTATTTTTATTAATGACATTTGTTGTTCCTCCAATTGCCTGGCACAGTCTTCCCATTATGATTAATATTCTTATAGTGATGCAATTCCTTGTATGACAGCGTTAAGCTGAGTGACAATTGGAGAAAGTTTGGAGAGGTCCCCGTGGACAAGGAATCATTACCTGAATCTACAGCTCCCCCGGGCTTTATAACCTTTTAGGTGTTTAGCCCTTTTCCTTAGTGTGTTCATCATTCTGATTGGGTCGTGTTCTGCAAAAGCTGTTAAATTAAAAAAAGAAAAGGCTGAACAGCAGATAGACGCAGTTTGAGACTATCTGTGTAACATTGTTGAGCAAATTGCTGCTAAGAAGCCAGATATTTCCCTCAGGAGTTTGTGGAGGCCATAATCAGATGGACATAATTACCACTGTAAATCCTGGACGTGTAAATAAGCAACCTTTTGCCAACATGTTTGCCATTATCAGCTTTGGAGATGATTATATGTCAATTATCCAGGTCTGACAGGAGGATCGGCATGTGTTACAACTAAATAATTGAGTGTAAGAGTCTTGAACAAAATACTACACCAGTGTTATTATTATCCATTGTTCCTAATGAATTTTGAATGATTCAGAGAACTGAAAGTCAAGCTGAATGAGCACCACTCACGCTTCTATAGCTTTCATGTTTTAGCTGCAGACACGATCACAAAACTTTACAGCACTAAAACTGCAGCTGCAATGCACCAAGCCTGCAGCTACGTTTGCGATCCTGCAGGGCCGTGAATATGGGAGAGATTAAAAACAACAGTTTACCTACTTAGTCCTGGCTCTTGTTCAACCTTGTGCAGTTGGCTCGTGCACCATGCTTCCGGCAATGGCACATGAAAAACAAACAACTGCGGCTCCGCTCCTCCATGTTAAGCTATACATGAAATGATCCATGTGTATTTTAAAAGCTTCTAAATACACATATCAAGACAATTCAACGATGATATTTTATATTTTTTCAAGTGTCAATTGTTTCTTTGCATGATCCACAATTTCACTACATCAGAGTAAAGGAGCAGTGTTGACCATACAGCTGGGAGGCTGATACAATGTTTAATTCAAGGGCTTTTTTTTTTTTGAATGACAGAATTTGTTCGGTACCTGCTTTGACTTTTGCTCTCATATTTTGCTTGAAAATATTTTATAACAAAACCCTGCAAGAGACGATAAATAGTACAAACAATTATCAACAGAAGACATTACATGCAATTTTAATACAAAAAAAATCCAAAGAACACAATGCCCATTTGGATCTTTTGGAGACGTAATATGAAACATTTAACATAAACAGAAAACAATACAATACAAAGAAAAATGATTTTCAATAATCAGTGTTTCTCGAAATACTATTCGCATAGCTGTGAACATATGCATTGTATTTGATTATTAGGAGCAAACGGTTTTATATCCATGCAGATCTATACCGTAACGTGGAGTTTGAAATGTTTGTCTGTCAATTTGTTGGTTTAGTCACAGGAGGACTGTTAAAGGGAAAGGAATCTTTTGAAAAGATTAACTCTAACTTATGGTGGCTTTACAGCAGTGTTTTTGTTGAACATAACAAAAGCAAATAAAAGTACAACCAACACTGTGCATAAAAGGATGGAGTTGTTGGCACCCTGCTCGTCGGGCTCCGTCTTTCTTTCTGTGCAGTAGACATGAATGGGGAACATTCACAAACACGTTTATTTTTATTTCGCATATTTAAAGCTCTCCACTTGTGAGCGTTATGGCCTGTAATGTTAACATAGTTATTGTTCGTATTATTTAAATGCATGAAATGGGGGAGGGGACGTGGCGACTGACGTGAAAAAAAGAGCATGGAGCGCGCAGACAGGCGAAGCAGTCGACATTTAGTGGGGAAGCGTTAATAATAATTCATAAATATCAGCCACTTAACAATTACTAATAATTCAATCATTAGTTACAAACAAATAATTATGGTACACATCTTTTCTAGTACTAAATTTGACTACGAGTTAATTATATTGACCCTAATATATGCTGTTTTAGGTCTTTGCATATGGGTTTACTGACATTATCGTGGGGAAAAAGCCTCTCATGGTTTCGCATGTTAGCCAGTCAAATTGCAGCGTACACCAGGCATTAGATCTGCCGGTTCCCTTAAATGTTGCCTGTATATTTTACCCTTTGGTGTTTTAGTAAGTTGAATGTCAAGTAAGGTGGGTGCCAAAAAAACACCCTCCCCCAATATGGGCGGTTAAAGACAGAAAGATAAGAGAGCTCAGGGAGAAACAATGCTCTTCCTCAGACAATTAAAGTCCAATATAACCAAGGACACATATAATCAATTGTATACAGAATCATGATACGAGCCACTGCTATCCTCCAATCTGCGGTGGATATAATGGAATTCCTACTTATATTCAACACACAATTGTATTAATGACACTGTATCAATGCGGCCGTGATCCTGCATAAAAGGAAGATATTCCTCATACTTTCGTAATTGTACAGCCTTGTACAGGTCGGCCTTGTTTGTGCGTCAGGATCGGCAGAGCACCACAGCAGGACAACTTAATTTGATGGTTCCACGCATGAATAAGTCACATCCTGAACCATATCCATATCTCAAACGCACTCATCTATAATGTACGCCGTATGCCGGCCGAGGACGCCTCACCTGATAGGGGCCGTCTCATCGCCCTTGTCCAGCCACTCTTGTGGTGGGATGATGTACATACACCACAGCCCCCAGTTGTAGCCGTGGGCAGCATTGGCATACTGCTGCACCTCAAACGTGTTGTACTTGATGTTGTCTATGGCGGGCAGGATGATGCGGGTGTGATCCTCCTTCATCCGGGTCAGAATAGGTTCAGCCCTTTGGAGAAGAAAAGAGGCAGAAGTTAACGGTGGACCTTTCGTTGAGCAATTATAAAAGATGAAGAACGACGGTGAGAGGGGAACTTTCAGCTACGGGGGGGAAAGGAGGGGGGGGGGTGAAGCCGTACATATTTTATTCTGTCCTGTGGATAACGGTTTCCAAGCTCCAATATTTAAATTGTTCGAATAAATAATTTTGGTCAAGGATGTGGAGACAGAATGGAAAGGTGAAGCAAAGCTGCAAATTTATTTTTACAGAAACAAAGTGTAGAAAAGCGACCCACTTTGTTTTTAAACACACTGCTCATTGTGGTTGTATTTACATAGAACAATGCCAGCAGCGAACAAGGATGACGGGAGATGTCGTCTCAACTTCCACCGCAGCGTTATATTAACATCAGCATTTCAAACGGGATGCGCTTCCTTCCACTGATTATAATGCAAAGGCCTTGCAAAATAACTTTTCTACAGTATCATGTAATATTTAACCTCCTGCTCGGGAAAACAAAACGTCAAATCCATGTTGATCGGAGGTAAATCCTGAGAAAGGAAAACACAGATTAAGGGATGAAAAGACCCTCTTCTTTTTGTGGAGTTCTTTTTCTGCAAAGACCTTGCTCCGAGTGCTCGCCAGACTCTTCATCATGTGACTTTTGGTCCGAGGCGGCCTTGACTGACACACATCCTTTTAGAGCGCATCAAGTGGAGATCAGGGGCCGCATTAACAAAACGCCCGAGGGTTAAGAGGAGCTCTCAACAGGCCAATTTGGGGGAAAGCCGCTCTCGCCCCTGTAATACTTTAATGAGGGTTTTTGTCTTGAGCATTTTAGCTCCACCTAAGCCTGTGGAGGGCGAGGGGTGGTCGAGAGTCACTGAGATCGAGAACACTTGGCAGTCCATCCAGTCACTGGGTCAATAGAGTTGAAAGATTGGGAGGGATTGAGGTTTTAAAGTTTCCTACCTCCTAATAGTAGAAGTAGATGCTGCTGTCATAGGTTGTCAAGTTCTAATAGGCAGCAGGAACTTTAGCGTCATCTAGCAAGGACCTCTGCTTGTAAGACAAAATACTTAGGATATAGGATTTTTTAAAAGCTGTGGTCGGGGGCAACATGGTCTTGATATCCATAAGCCAGGCCTACAGAACGTTGCCGAAATGCTGCTGGCACTGGCTGCACTTTTAATGCTGAAAAGATTATCTCCACCGTATTGTCAAAGCATTAAGAAAAAGATGGTATGATTATAAAATGATAACTGTGTTGCGCCAGAACACTAACACTATTACTGGTTCAATCAACCGCTGACTTTGTCTCTCCGTCTTTACCCTGACCCGTCTTACCACCCAAAAATCTAATTTTCCTCTCATCAAATGAAGTTACAGGGCATTGCAGAGGGGAATGGATCTGAAATTGAATTAAATGGGATATTAAGAAAATATTTTAAATTGAATTAAATGAGATTTCAAGAGAATATGAAGTATTGCTTGAAAAAAGCCATCATTTAATAATGCATGAGTATTTGATAAAAGCACCACAGCAGCCATTAGAAGCTGACCAATGGCTCGTTCTGCCTTCACACCGACGTGCTACAAAAGCTTTCCTGGCTGTTCCCAGTCTTTGTGCTCAGCGAACATAACTGCCCTGTGGTTTCATTTTCACATTCACCATCGGAGAGTGGCGTTAATCTTCTAATCTAACTCTACAAATGAACAAATGCACTTTCAAACTTTCCTTAAACCTTTATGCAGTGGAGGACGTCATGGTTGGAAATGTCTTTGCTTTGATGAAAAATGACCTTTTTTGAAAATGTATTTTATTTTTAAACTGCACTAAGCAGAACCTTTATTGAGTACACGCATACAATGTTAATTAATCAATACAACAGTTCTGGCATTGATTTAATTTTAATTACTCTCAATAAGTGATCACGTTTGAAATCTAAATGGCAGCAGCAACAAAGCTCCAGTTATCTGCATGTGTGCCCTGCGACACATTATCATCACAACATACTAAGGCTTAGTAAGGACATATCGGTGTCACTTTGTAACAAAGAAAATAATGATAAACAAACAACATTAACTGTAAACAGACACCAAAAACGTGCATTGATTAAGGATGTTAATCATCCTGCAACTTGCATCCTGCAACTCAAATTGCAGGCAATGCAGCCATGATGAGAACTGGATATTGAATTATGAAATGATACTTGAATTGCTGGATCGCTTCCTTGTGCTGTTGTGTTCCACACTGCATATACACATTTATGTACTGGATCCAACTGAGCATGGCCATGAAAAACGTATAACAAAAAACAAAGCAAACAAAAAAAGATAAACAATCTAGCAGTATTCACAGACCCACCGATAGAAGATGTGTCGATGTACGCCAAAAATTCTCTAACATTCACCCGACGGAGAAATTTCAGATTAAGTTCCTTTAGTATTTTTTTTTTCTGCACTTTTAAGGCACACGGTTTAAATGTATTACATTTTTTTTTGGAACCTTTTCACGTGTTGCCTCCACTGAATCTCCTCCTCGACTACCCAACCTTGAGGAGCTCTCTCTGCCATCGCAGTGACTTCCATTCATCTCCCTGCATCCTCGAGCACCGCAGAGAGCCAGCCGGCCGCTCTCCTCCCTCACTGATCCATGAGGCTGATAAGATGGAGACGCTCGGCAAACTGGGACACATCTGGTTTTGTCCACATCAGCCCTTCTCTCTTGCATATTACAACACTATGAATACATGTAGAAAATCTCCATCGCCGTCTGAGCTCCTGATACATTTTTTTTGTATGGGTTTATATTGAAGCCGGAGGTCCTTTGATTTCTCTACTCCTCATGATGTTTGTCTTTCATAATATCCGGCACCTTGGTTGAGACTTGCATCAGGCTGTGCAAACATTTCACAGAATTGAACAAACAGAAAAAGCAAGGATAAATCTTTCTGTACATTCAGAATTTATATCTGTCATACTTTTGGACAGTTCCGATATAAAAAACCTTGCAGCTGTTTCATTTGAGATTACACAATTTTTCAAAACGTCCAAAACAACAGACCTCAAAACGTTAATGAATAAGAAGAAGGGGATTATCAGATAATGAATCCAACTGTGCTCAGAATTTGTCCCTGATAGCATCGGGTCCCTCAGCACCTACATGAAGATATCCTTCAATTCTGCATTGGATTCAAAGCTGAAGACATTGCGAGTTATTCATGCAAGGGAAAATGTATTCTGTATTTATTGAGTACAGTGGCTTTTATGGATGGACCAAATGATGTAAGACGTTAAATCCAGTAGATTTAGATTTTAGGTGTTTACGGAAAGCTCCGCAAATTTAACTAGGGTTCTATTTGACAAAACTCTGTTGATTCATTGTATCAGGGTTGTTTTCTCTAAACTAATAGACCAAGAAAAAAAGATTGAAGAAAGATGTTGAAGTACTTTGGAACAATACACTCTTTATATCCAGAGTCTGTTAAAATGAATGTTGACAATTGATCATTTGCAATTAATAAACAGAATCACCATTGACTGATTCATTACAAGATGGGTTTAATTTTCTATACGGTGCATCTAGATTTCGCATTTCCACAGTTTTTTATAATATGTATGTAATGTACGTATATAGCACAGGTCAAAAGTTGGACACAGCTTCTCATTGAATTTAATTAGAAACTGTGTCCAAACGTTGGACTGTTGGACTGTATGTATAAGTCTTCACATACTTACCTCTGCATAGTTATTTAATTTGTGTATGTTTAAAACAAATGTCATGCTTTATGTTCACTGTTTATTATATAAAATTGCATTATTGACATAGTTGAATGTAAATTAAATGACACGTGTTATAGTTTGAATATAGGCAATAAGCAAGACCTCTATGGTTAATAGTACAATTTCCAAATACATGCTGGTGTTGAAAACTATAATAAGAGATGACTGTTACAAGATGACAAGATGACAATAGATATTGACAAGAGTCAATATCTATTGTGGTAAAATACCAACATTGCTGATTAAAACAAATCAGCACCGGGGTGTAAACACGGATAGACAGTCTTCAAAATGAGCTGTTAATGTTCATTCATATTCATATCTACACAGTGTACATGACATCAATTAACAGTGAGGGGAGTGTTTCTGAAAACAATTTAAGTCGTTTTTTTAGGAGATTTGATTTCTGTAAATGTGAATCGTTCCACAGTCTCTCTGCCTGGCTGCACATCAGAGCAGCTCAAACATGCACATGTAGAGTACGCATTTCACAATCTAAATAAAACATCATTATACAGTCTAAATGTATCATTTTGCAGGCGGAAGTTGGTTATATTCCTTGATTTCATGACTTCCACCAATTTGTCTTGTTCTTCCATAAACTTATCGGGGTACATGGCGCAAATCATTCAAAATTCATCAAAGTCTTTCTGAAGCGTGCAATTCATTACCACCGGCCTGCAATTACAATCTTATCTCTCAGCAGGGAGCGACTTCTGCGCTTTTAATCATTACTCGTTAATAACCTGAGATTGAAACGGTGCAAGGATTTTAAAAAGCAAATAAATATCCTATTACTGCTCTTCCTCCCTATGTGTGTATGGCGGCATACCGTGGGCCCCAATGACAAAACGCTCCCATTTCCTGTCAGTAATCCTTTTCATTTAGAAAGCAGGAAACAAGTCCTGTGTGTAGTGGAATTGACAGATGTATTCTCAAGAATAGATGGATATAAAGCATTAGGGAAGATGGATTATGAATATTTAGCTGATGCAATGCCGCCTAATAATATGCAACAATTTCCCTGTATTAAAGCAGAGCACAGCCTTGGGAATCTGATTCCATTACTCCTCTCGTGGAAAAGCTTCTCTTCGCCGATACAGTTTGGTACAATTATTATATGCTTTAACAGCGATACATTACATTTGCAAATGTGCAGCACACCAGGCGGAATACCTTGCCAATGAATCACCGCTCTGCAGCGGAGAGCTGGCAGCATTGTCCCTCTGCCTCGGGGTGCACAAGCACTGTGAACAAGGTCATATGGGGGAGACTCACCACAACATCTAGACGAGGAACCATCCATCTCCCTTATCACTGGAAGTGCAATGGTGAATAATGCTACTATAATAAATAGGTGGCTTCTACCATTCAAGCAAACAGATAGTGGAGATACAACGAGTGACTTGGAGTGAAAGAGCAGAAAAATGTTTTATACATACAGGCGATTTGTGCACGCAAAATGAAAGAAATAATTGAAGGGAGCGGGTGGAGGTGGTTGTGTGGGCATGGGTGTTTTGTTTCGTGTGTGTCTGTGTGTGTGCATGTATGTTGAGAGATTCCAATGCGGAAGTGAATGGGTTATGTGGAGGCACGAAAGATACGTCAATTTTTCAGCAACACCAGATGGGCAAACAGATGAGGGGTCCACAGGGTGTCAATTATCATCAGCGTTGCACCGGGGCATTGAGGCTACTTCCTCCCTGAGTTTAACGTTCATAGTCAGGCTGAAAATTAGTGCCGTGAGACAATGATCAAGGTTCATGAAATCACAATGAGAACAGCTTCCTTTCTACTGGCATGTTAGCACTGTTTTCATGTGCATCTGTGTTGGTTTATTTCACATAAATCTCCGCGAGCAAGTGAGAAAAGCCAAAACCAGGAAAGTGTTTGACATCGTCCACATTGCTTGATTTTCTAATTGGATAGATTCATACTGCCATTTAAACATACCAGCATTAGCGCATTGCGTTACCATCACAAAATGGTTTCGCGAAAAGTTGAGCCAAGTCGCTTTACAATTGGAAGCTCATTTTGTCTGCATGTGTTCGTTATTCCAACTTACATTTTTTTTTCCAAGAGCTTTGGTTTCCAGCTTCAACTGTCCAATGCAACGCCAGCATCCCTGTCGAAGCCACAGCTTCCCAGGGACACCTGTTCATATATACACTGTATATACTGATATACACGCACATTATAAGTACTTCATCTAAGGACTGAAGCTATTCCTCTCTGCTGTTCTCCTCCATTCCTTCCTTTCCTTTCTCCCTCCTGTCCTCCTCCTGCCTCGAAGGCAGCTTCCCAGGGAACAATTGCTACACTTCATTTTCACGCCGGGGCAGGCTCAAATTAGGTGCCAATTACATTTATTTGAGTGACTTGTTTGCTGTTAAACTTATGCAGCACGTAGACATTGGACCGAGACCCCCAGAAGTAATTTCATATCGAAAAATAAGCCAAGAGTCTGCGGGTAAAATCCCGTCAAAATGCTTAACATTGATGCTCCCTCTTTAATTAGCCTCACTTTTGCCTTTTTCACGGTTGTGCTCTCTTTTTTCATTAGTTTGCAATTGATGGACAAGTAGTGTAATCTAAAATGGGCTGCGTTTCTATTGAGCCCTAACCAAAGCCATTCCGCACAATATAAAATGAGATGCAAGAGAGGAATACATAAGAACGATTACTACTTACTAATAAAAGGGGCCATGCTGCTGAAAAGAATTCACCTGGCACTATATGAAAATACTGGTTTGAGCAGACTAAAATGCCTATAATAAAAATCTCAAATAACATTTTCTTGTACCAAAAATATCAGAAGAAAACCAAAGGAGAGAGAAACGGCTCCGACCTACTCCTAATAAACATGTCTTTTTCTTACCAGCCTGGGTTGAACTCGACGTGGGCATCAAAGAAGCCAACAACAGGAGCCGTGGCCGCGTTCCAGCCGTGTATTCTGGCTCGGATCAGACCCTCCCGCTTGCTGTTCCTCACAATCTTTACCAGGCCTGGGTAGCGTTTGTTCACATACTGGTCCAGGTTGAATTTCAGCTCCACTGAAAGAGGGCAAAGTAGAGAAAATCTTAATTGAAATGCCATCCACATGAAAAAGATGACCGCGAAAGAAAATATATTTCCAAGATGGTTTTGATCCAATTTACCTTAAGGCTTAATGTCAGGATTGCAGTAAAAATGTGTGTTATTTTTGTCTGTCTTTTTTAAATGTTGCAAATACTCATCGTCTACAACTCATTAAACTTTACCTTAATTGCCCAGCTGAACACAGATCAGAGACGGCTTAAATCGCCCTTAACACCCCCTTAGTAACACTTATGAGTGAAAGTTATTCATAATGGTTTAAAAAGAGAGAAATTCAGTGGTCTTGTCTTCACATTAAAGCCATCAACAGAGGTCAACCAATAGAGGTCGCTGTACCCACCGACTCTCTAACGCATTCCAGCGATGTACTAATTCATCTCTCCTCCTCTTTCCTCGCAGACAAGTTTGGCTGTCAACGCTGGAAAAAGTTTCCTGTGTAAACGGCCAGTTGCCCAAATGCCTGTCTGCGTTCCAATGGAGGATAGATGGCTGTTTGAGCTTCTCCTCTGGGTTGCTGCCGAGCGTTCCACTTTCTGAGGGAGAGATTAATAAGGACGCCTGTGGCACACTGGCTCTGAACGGCATCCACACCTGGCTCGTGGCCGTGACTCACAACATAAATCAGCCAGTGGAAGTAAAGAAATGGCTGAGGAGAAATAGTGAGTGGATGGATTGTCAGGAGTCTTTTCTAGTTGATGGTGTAGAGCATTGGGTGCTGACCCTTGAGGCAAACCTTCAGTAGCATTTGATACCAAATTAACACAAGCATTCATGGGACCTTGAGCAATGTAAATGGCTGCAAGAAGGTAGTAGATCTGATCTCCAGTATTTCTGTGTGGACTTTGCCATGTCATTCTACTCTAATTTGACTTATTTGTAGTAAGTAAGCACTTTGACCACAGTCTAATATGCAATGGAGCTAATGTCATGCTCACGAACTGAGACAACCTTTTCTTTTTCATTTTTGCTCTAAAACCTCTCAGAGCAGTGGGTACAAATGAGCTCGCTGTTGGTATTTAGTACAAATGTCACGTGCGCTCATTAGGAATAATGAGGATCATCTGCGTTCCCATATGCATCAGTCACTGTTAGAATCTGCTCCTCTTTGAGGGTCCTGGGAACTTTACGGTTTGTTTCTGTTTGCATCAGTGAATATTTCTAACCTGTGCCTTGGGTCTCCTCCGTCATTGCCTCTTTCTGCAGCTACAATATGATATAAGCCATTAAGAGTGTAATAATTACCGGGCTTTGCGGGGAAGGAGAAAAGTTATGGGCGTCCCGCAGATCTGAGCAAATAAAACGTTGGACTGCGTCCATGGGAGGGGAGTTATGGAGCAGGAAATACATTTTAAAGGAGTAGCAGTGAAGAATAGCTGGGGATAAATAACTATCCATCATACTATTTAAAATTAATGCATTGTGGATTGCGCAACGAACACCGTGAATTCCTTTGGGGAATTGGGAGATCGTGGAAGCCGCTGCGTTGAGGATGGATAGAAGGAGTTATTGAACAGTCTTTGATCATTTAAACTGGGGCAAAGCCTTAGATTTGACTTCCATGCTGAAAAAGCCTGAATGATATCCTTCCGCACGCCGCCCCTTTTGTGCTCACTAAATACAGATACTCCTGTATTCAAAAAAAGCCACAGGCTTTTCTGTTTCCGATCCTGTAAAATCAGCCTCAGAACAGAACATCCGCTGAGTTTCTTTGTTTGTTTTCAAAGCTCTGATCTCTGCCAACACAGAGAAACCGAGGACGATGCTCTGATTCATGGATATTGTGATGTTCTTGAAGGTTCAAAAATACACTATCCAAACATGAATCAATGGAAAAGCCTTTCATCGCTGTTATGTTGCCACAATGGCGAACACAAATGAATTGGAGTTGTCCTGCCTGTAACACACACGTAGGTAAAGATCATCACTTGGAATGAGGGTTTAGCTCAGAGCTGTAAATAAACCTTTCAGCCACAAGGCAAACACACTTCCGGTGCCTAATTTGTTATGCCGAGGAGCGAGTGTGGCTGTACCTCGCCTCATCTCCTTGTTTAAATGAGAGGGGACAGACGGAGCCATCCAGAAAAGGTCAAGCACACCAGCCTGCATATTCATTGTCTAATGTCACAGCAGCGGCACCCGAGAAACAGCTCACACTTCTGCATTAATTATCTTCACTGTTGGTAAACATACAGTAAGAGCGGCTGACGGACGTGTCGGTTTACAGGCAGTGACCCTAAGTTGACCTCGTGTTAAAGAGGCACATGGACACTGAAATCATCAACACCTTGCAGTCGTGCGACGTGAGGTCGGTGAGCCACACACACAGCACGCTAACGCTAAACGTCAGCCTGCAACGCTTTGAAGGAAAAGGTAGTAAACAAGCCGCAGAGGTCATGAGTTTGGCTTTCTTTCTTTGCCCGCTGCTGTCTTTGACAGCGCTTGTATATCGGTTTGAATTTTTTTCTCTTTAACTGACTGGAGACAACTTTATTCTAACAGATCTGATGAGTTTTCATGCCTGAGGTATTACTGTGGCAAATTAGGTGACTCCCCAGGGATTAATTAGTGGGAATGAGTTGGCAACTTTGTGGTTTAAATATCAGGCAGGCACGTAATCTGCTGACAAAGATCTAATCCTTGTCAAATCAATCTAAAATCAGGACAAACTCTTTTTTCACAAGAATAAAAATGTATAGGACAGCTACATTTAGATTTATGACCATTTGTTCTTAGAAAAAGACCGTCAGTTGTTTACAACCAACTACATTTCTAATGTTTAGCTAATGTTTCTTCTTCAAATCACTTCATCCCTTGATCACTTAATTGATACATCATTCCATATTGTATTGTCATAACCGTACATAACGCATGTTAATTTAACCTTTCCTAGTTGCCATTTACTTTCTTCTAATAAATATATTGATTCTAGGTGCTTATTCTGCAGTTTCTGCTGACTAACCATAATAACTAACCATTATCATGGATTTCCTCCAGTCTTTCATATCCTGAGGGTTTAAGTGCTCTTTAACACCCTTGCAATGACAACGTTTCGTGGTAGGAAGCAGAGAGAAAATGTTGCAGTCTCTATAGTAAAAATAGGGTTGTCCTTCAGAAAAAAATGTACTGTAGGCAAAACCTTTGCAAGTGTCAGAGTTATTGGGGCGGAATGACATAATGAGAGGAGGGGTCGGCTTCCATTTTTATCGTTGGCTTTTAACGGCTGCCTGTTTAATTGCAGGCAGTTAGAACCTCAGCGGGGAGCGGAGATGTGCCAGTGCTGACTCCTGCTCGGCCTTCTTTCAGTATGTTATTCATGCGCCCTTTTCCGCTGCCAGCCTGGGGGAGGCAGGCCTGTTACTCCGTGCCAAGTGAAGGAGGGCCAAGTGTCGTCTGGAATCTAGTTCATTGTCCCTCCCTCTCCCGAACGGAAAAGCTTTCGGGATGTGGAGCCGAGCATCGTCAGCTGCTGTGGGCCCACACTCTGTAAGTGAGGAACATTCAAATGTGATGCAAAAAGGAAATGATCAGAAAGATATTGGATGAAACCAGACAACTGACAGGATATCATTGCCTACCATTATCCTGAAGAGCGTAGAAGGATTTGGGGGGGGGGGGGACTTTTTCAATGTGAATGGATTCTAAAGACCTCAGAGGCAAATTTTTTGAGGTGTAAAAAAATGAATCTATTGGCAAACAGTTGGACACCTTGGTTACATATTGCAAGGTCAATGTTGAAATGATGTGTTATCATCAAACCAAACTGAAAAATGTCTTATGCTGCAAAAACTGCAATAACGTTCCACCTTAGTCAGGTGGTCATTACTTAGACAACAGAAAGCATTTCGCACAGAGGCACATTGGGTTCTGGGTCAAATCATAGCAAGATGTTTGTGCGTCGTTTAGAATCTTATGGTGCCAAAGATGATCGACTACATTTGAGGACGACTGGCAGCACTTTGATCCATGACTTTGCACCCGTGTCCTGCTTGCTCCAGTATTATTCAATAAATGTCCTGTTTAATGATTTTACACCCGTGTGGAGTAAAAAACACTTACCACTGTCACTGTTGTCGTCCACCAGGATGATCTCCTTGAGTACATGCGCTGGTGTGTGGTTGACAACACTGTGGACGGAGCGCAGGATTACCGACAGCGCCTCGTTCACAAAGATGAAGACCACGGAGATCTGAGGAAGGTCCTCTGGGTACATCAACTGCTTACACCTGTTGAGACACAATTAAGATCATGAGCCAGAGCTAAAACCACCTGCACTTTGTCTGCATGTCCATTGACTGAGATAAATATCTACATCTTTCTTTGTGTGCGTGTGTTTCTGAGTATCAATATTTTCTCTCACAAGGCCCATAGAGCAATAATTTGTATAGCAAATTATGCATTAAAAAAGGGTACGCTTCGGAACAGCCAATGTGTAAAAGAAAATAGAAATGAAGGTTTTCACAACCTTGCTGGCATACTTTGAAGAAGCTGAAAAATATCGCTGAAACCCCCTTAAAAAGACTTTTATGGCCCCTTTGAATGCCATCATGGTCCTCGATTACCTCTTCAGGGACTGCAGCAGCCACCCGAAATACCCCAGTCTGCCCATAACCCACAATGACACACCGACTAGACACAGCTCTCTCACAGCAGATGTTTCGACTTGTCATAGCAGAAATAAATCCCGGGTATAATTAACGGAGGCTTTGTTCCATGTGGGCGTGCCGATATCGGGGGCCCCGGAGACGCAACACCTGCAGTAAATGGGATGCAGACATAATTAATGTGATTAGTTCCACCTTTTGTTCACCTACACACCTACAAAAACATATTATCTTTTTGATAAATCAGCCTCATCCTCCTACTGGTTGGAGTTCAAGAAGCTTTTACCTCTTAAAAATGAAATCAAATGTTTTATGTCACATTAACAGTGTGTTCTCATGGGGTGTACTTGAATAACTTTTTTTGTCAGTAAACAGGGGTAAAATACATCTCTCTTCTAAAATAGAATTTGAAGCCCCACATCCATTTGATAGCGAAGCTGCAAGTCCCAGACCTGCACTCTCAATACAGTCTGCGACTAATGCTACAGCAGAGCTGCCAACCCTCATCTGAACGGTCAAACCCTGAATTTGCTCACTGTAGTTTTCCTTTTGAGACCCAAATTCTTTGGCTTGCTAAGAAGCCTCACAATGAGGCCATTATGTTTAACACATTCACCATTTTAGTCAAGCATTTAAGCATTCAACGTCGACTTGTACTAAGAACAAAGTACAGCTGTGTCGGATGGTGTTTTGACCTTATTGTAATGCTGCACAAAGGCGAGAAGATCACCGAAGTGATTACAATCCATCCTGAGGGGGACAGACCAACACTTCCTCCCCTTGACATGTTAATTCTCATAATGATGATGTACAAACTTAGATAAAAAATAAAGTGTGACTTTGGCAATGTCAGGGATGGACTGCATCATCTTGCATTACTAATGGCCACGTCGAGAGGCAAAACCCTGTCTGAGTTGTAAATGCAGCCAACTTATGACACTTGGGTTCATCCTTAACTGCGTTGGGAGTTAATTTAGTACATAAATAGTGTGGCTGGGGAAGGCAATCAGATGCCTCTATTGACACAGACAATCTGAAGTATGATGTGTCTACACAGAGAGGTGAATTTCTCTATGTAACATGTAAACACGAGCCCAAATACGACCAAAATGGGTTCAATGTCTTCCATCTCTCACCACCCTCCATGATAACTTATTTTAAACATCTGTGAACACTGAGACAAATAAACGTCTGTAACATTCACACTGTCCGCGTCTCCCTCTCACAACAACAAGCCTGCTACTCTACTTTGCTGATAATCTCATGCCTGTCACCTCCGGAAAAAAACAACTGAATTTTTCTTACAGGCGTGCTGTGGCTTTGAAGTCAGCAATAACAGTGTTGACTGGACGGAAACACTTGGCCAATTCCTATGGCAACTGTGAACCCGCTAACACACACGCTGCGAACATCTTGTGAATCTTGCAAAATTGAGGCTCCAAACGCAGCAGCTGACAAACGCATTTTATACGCTTCAGCCCGTTTCTCCATGTTTTCAAATATCTTATTCAGCAGTGCTGTCTCCTCATGTAGGGATAATGAGGTGGCTATAGTAATTGTAGTGGATGAATTATTTACAAGGGATTTGGGCTGTAATTAATATAATATTGCTCCTTATTAAAATCAAGCAAATTGACATGAATCAACTAAAGCTTCAACTAAATTCATGTCTTTGGTTTAGTTTCAGTAAAACTTATGAAGCTTCCGAAGTCTTACATATTGCATTAGCCAGTTATATACCATCAAACTTATTAACAAGACAGTGTACATACTGTACCACAAATGAAGCATACATTTTTTTTGAAATTTTGTTCTTGGCTCTGGCATTATTTTAAAATAACATCATCATCCTCAAACACAAATTAGGATTGCTAGAGAAGAGAGTACAGTAAACACACCATTAACCAAGTGTAAAATCCCTGGTCTGATGCTATACTGTGTTATGTCTGCATACTGAAACCAATCAAATAAAAAAAAATCCTCTTCATCCAAACGTTAGCGGTGTAGTCGTATTTTTAGATCTCAAACTGGGCAGTGTTGCTATCAAAGTCAAATTCTGCTACCTTGAACATGTTTTGTTCAAAGACGGCACGTTCCCTGCTCGTCCACCCTCGCTGAGAGCCATCTGAGCTCTACTGGTGCTCGGCTCACTGATACACCGGTGAGCCGCGATGTCAGGCTGAGTCAGCAGCATCCACGGGGTCAGGCCGCAGGAGGACGGCCACACAGCAGATGGATCCCAGCGTGATCCTCTTCTCTCCGCCCATTGGAAGCCGCTAGTTTATGTGGGTATGAGTGTGTGTGTGTCCTCTGTGTTAGCAAGTTCGCACCTTTCAACAATGAGATTTGTCGCTAGCAATTATGTAGAACGATACATACAACAGATGGTAATTGATGTACTTCAGAAGTTAGTAAAGGCTTTGGATGTCATCCTAAAATACTTTTTAGTTTCCTTTTTGGCTTTACACATTTCCTTTGCACATACATCAAAGACATCGTGGGTAATGTGGACTTCCACTGTAAATTATTCTCTTGCATTGAGCTGGTTGCTTTTTTAAATGCATTCTAGTGAATTCAATGTTGTATTTGTTGGCCTAATTTCTGCTCTTCAAATATAAATGGACAAAAATGTCATGGGACAAGCGTATAGTGCAGACACTCGTACAGTGTTTCTTGTTTTCTTTTCCCTAATAACTATCGTTAACTCACTTAAAATCCATATGATTTGGGGTAAAGGTAAAAATAGTAGGTAAATGGTGAATGTTAATGGTAAATCTACCTTTCAGGGTACAGTTGGCCTTTTGCACATTTAATAGATCATCAGATTGTGGTTAATTGTTTTTGTCGTGTCGTGTGAGTAAAAGTTTAATTTGTTTTCTCATTTGGTTGACAAAAACTCGGCCTTCATCTTACTTAGTGTGACATTACTGCCAACGTATATAGTTTAGCATTAGATGCCGACACAACTTGCGTTGGTTGCAATATAGTACAGGAGAATAGTACTTGCGATGCTCTGAAATATCTGGATCCTTGTTGTTGTCTTATGTGACTACTTAGCTTAATACTACCATTGATTCATGCATATTAATGATAATCTGCTGTCCGTAGGCTAAAGGTTTACTGATCTGGACTGGTTTAGTTTAATTCCATGCATCAATCACTTCCATTACAACAGCGCACAGGCATTTGACAACAGAGGTAATAAAAGGAAGACTAAACCACAGAGAGGGTTCATGACGGATGCACGTCGCCTGCGTCTACCTATGCATTAAGCCCCGCTCTCGCGCCGTATTCGTAAGCGCAAGTGCACAAGTGTTTTGATTGATAACTCCTCCACTGTATCATTTCAGTCCTTGCCTGTGCATTTATGCTCTCCCTCAGCAACTCCTTTGTTCCTTTTCACAGCTTTCTCTATTGCCTCTCTCAATCAGCCCTGCCAAGTCTATGAATACAATCCCAAATCTGGCAGTGAGTTTGAGGAGAGATTTTATTTATTTTTTGCACCGCGGCGCTCCTTTACACAACCACAACATGGCCACGCTGCAAAACAAAGTGGCTCGTATTCACTCCTTTTCTGACACGGTGGAGAGGCTGCTTTTAATTAATTTTACCACATTAACATCTCCAACAATGTCAGAGGGGGGCAACGCAGCCTCATGGTTTTAAGTAGAGATGTGATGAGAAGGGATCTGAGTGTTTGAATTGTAGGTTTCATCGCCCTAGTTACAGGATCCAATTTAAGGCTTCGCTCAGGCTTAAATTTGTACTTGTCTGCAGTAGCGGGGAATCCTTGTAGGGCCGTAACAAGATGAGCGATCGATTCATCTGTTTATAATGGGACTGAACTCACTGGCCGGCGCTCATAATTTGACCCGGAACAAGCTTTGACAGAAACAGAGTGCCAGATTAAGACGTATTCCAATCACACATCCCGCTCCTCCTCTCCCGGCAGCCGTGTGGATGAGCGCGCTCCTTCTGACTTTTTCCCCACAGGCAGCTCTTATTTGCTGTGAAATTTCACATTAACCTCCTGTAACCCGCGCGATGCCGGCAACACTAAAGCAACTTTCCAATCCACGGGCACTCCTCGCGGAAAGATAATCGTTTGCCTTGTCATTTCTCAACACCCCCCCCCTCCCCCTCTCCCCCTCCAGCCCCGAGCCTCATCCAGGAGATAAACTGTGGCGCTGGAGAGAGCAACAATCTGCTGCAGGAGCTCGTGCACCACGGAGACCTTACGATCCCCACGCTGCAGTATCAGACACTAAAGAGATGTGGTAAGCCGGTTTCCTCTGCCTCCCTCTACAGTTATCACCCTCCCAGAGGCAGACAAACACAAGACACGGACTCCTTGGTGGTTCATATAGTTTTGGGTTTAACTATTTTGACAAAATGTGAATAGAGAAACAGGTGTGATTTGAAGCAATGGAACGTTAACTCCCACGCAGGAGGAAAAACTGCAGAGTGAAAAGCAGGTTGAATGCCTTAAATAGCCTTTTTCTATTTATGAGTAAAAAAAGTCACATTTGACATATTTTGTTTGTTTAGTGGGCATCAGTAATTATTCTCGCTTGTGGGGCTTTTATTATTTTTCTCTCCACGGCTAGATGTTATCATACAAAAGCCTCCCAAGGACAATGAACAGCAGTCACAGAGTCACAACAGTATAGAGCCTACTTAAAACCCTTAGTATCTCAGTTAATAATGTCACATGCCGATGTGAAGGGCAGAACAGAGAAATACAGGCCGGCGGGGAGTGAAAAGAGGATTACAGTTGGGGTTTTTTTATCCAAGAGACAATTGCGGCCGTAATATTATGAATTAGTTTTGCTGCACACTGGCAGGTTTGAAAAGAGACTTTCAGAAGACTTAACAATGTGTGGCTCTTTCAGTTATGTGCCATGGTGATAGACTTTGCTCTCCTGTAGTCATCAGCTTAATGAGTACTGTTCAATTAAAAGCCCATCACACAGGAGGTGACTGGTTGCTCCTGTTAAGCTCACTTCACCAGCGCTGCAGTCACCTTTTGCGTGCAGGACATTAGTTAAAGAAGCAGAATTAGAAATGTGAAACAGCACCGCAGAGAACTGCTTTAAAACTGAACCAAACGGGTTGCTGTAGGTGTGAAAGCACCCAAGAAGTCCTCACAAGTGCCACAACAATGCTGGCGTATAACAGTGTTGGTCTGGCTGCACATGAATCAATTTTCTTTCACTTGCGGTTCTTTGATGTTTCTCTTTAAAGTACGGCGTTGGTGATGTAACCAGAAAAGGCAAAGAAAACTATGTTTGCACATTGCGCTGTATTGATTTCCGTTGAGCCTCACAACAAATGTCTTTATCGTAGCTGTCATGGACTGACGCTTTACTTTGTTTGACTCAACTGTGTTGTTGTTTAAATGGGTACAAAACATAGACACGCAGATACAGATCAAGAAATGCAGAAGGGAATTCACAAGCTGTGAAACGAGCACTGAATCCACACACAGTCTATTTAACCGGAAACACCTCAGCTAACCCCCCAACACTCACCCGCCTTTTGTCTTACTGAGAAGAAAGAAAGGAGGAATTTCCTAAAAATCACTGGGTTCCAGAGGCCCTCTCAGCTGTCTTAATTAATTAGCAGTCTCCTTTAAGCTCGCCCCTCCTCCCCGTTCCCTTCTAGTCTAATTTTCCTGGGCGTCAAAGGAGCTGCGAACAAAGCAGCGTGGATGAAATGAATTGTTATCCCCGCTAAAGCCCCCAGAAACCTCTCTTGGCCGTCAGATTTCCGCCCAGTGTGTCCCCCTGTCGCCATTGTTCTTTGACACTGTGCGATATGAGAGCAACTGGCAGCCCTGATTACCCCTTCCCCCTCCTCCTCCTCCCCCACCACACACACACACATTCGCTTGCCAATCCATATCCTGCAGTATCACAGCTGTAGTTCTGTCATCATATAAAATGGAAAAGGACTGTGTAGGACAATTTAGGCGCCTGCTTGGTGTCCACTTAGTCTTTTTTGTGAAAAGAAAAAAGAAAAAAAATCCCTAATCCCTGTGTTGCAATATTACAAGACCGTTTTTCAGCTATAACCTTCATCCTCCCAATGTCCTTGTGGATTAGATGAAAGTCATTCTCTATTGTGTAACTCCCCATTGCAGAAGACTCAAGATGTGTGGTGGTAATCATCCCCGGGCGCCCGCGCCGGAAGAGCCGAGGAGGGATAAGAGGAGGTGGGGCCCCAAAAAGGTTTTCAACCGGGAGTTAGGGAGGGCGTTGGCGGGGGGGAGACCAATTAATTTTTGGGGGTCATAATTTGGGGGGATTTTAAAGCCAGGCCCCCCCCCCCCCCCCCCTTTGCACAACTGTAGAGCTTGTTATTCTACCTCACTCAATTTACTTTCCTTTCATTCCTACTTGGTTTTGAAGCAGTGCCCTATCACTGCGATTCATAGTTCTCTTTAACATAATTGACTTTGAAATGACCGTATTTCCACAATATAGAGGTCTTTCATGTGTGTGTCTGTCACCAATCTCTGTTCAAAATGGTCGTGACTGGAGAAATAGCTGAATTTTTTTTTTAAGTCTAGTTCAATGGCTTTGTAAGAAAAAGACAATGTCGGTTTCTAAAATATATTTCCTAATGAAATGTATAATTTCGTCAGCCAAGGTGGGGAAATTGGAAAAACTGGAGCTGTGATAGCACATTAGCTTACATTAGACTAGAAGCCTATAGGTTGTAGCAATCTCCCAAAAATCTCCCTGATAAGGAGGCACAGAGGAGTAACAATATCTGAGAAGAGAGTAGACAACACTGCAGGAGTCTCTATCAACTTCAGCCAATGAATAAAATAGTGATGTTACCTGCCAACAAAACCAATGCCGACCATTGTGAAACGAATGCCAGACAAAAGAAATGCAGTTGTTTGAATTGTTTTTACCACTTACCAAATGCATTCATACTTCTGGAATGTACAGACCAGTGAAACTGGGGCGGGTAGCCAGGAAAAAAATTCATAAACCAGGACAATCTCCCCAGGAGGTAAAAAAACGCACATAAATAATGTGTGCATGTTTCTCTTCAATAAGGAAACATTAAGTAGGACAGTAGGAACTTGGTCCACTGTTTTGTCAGTTAGTCTTAAATAATATATGAGAATTGTACAAATGCATTAAGGTAGATTAAACTTAACGCATACAGTAAATCCATAGTGATATCGAAAGCCAAAAATAACATTAAACAGAAATTAAAAGGGGTGTTTTCAACGCTGCATAAACACCACCAACACTGTCCTTTAACATAAAACATTTGTAGTTCAGAAGCATTTTCTGGCTTTCCATATCTTGGGGCCACAAACAAAGTAAGTCTCACTCACTCACACATGCTATAAAAGCATATAAAATAGCACTTTTGACCTTGCCCTATCTTCCAGGAAATCTTTGTAAACTATCCAGTTACAAGTCTCTCTAAAATTACACAAGCATGCCAAGAGGAACAACGGGTGCAGAGCTCCGGTTAAAAAGGGAATGTACACGTACTTTTTGGGCCTGTAGTCTGGGATGCTCCTGTCCAGGGAGATGCGGTCGCTGAGCTGAGCGTTGTAGCCGTACTCCTCGTACTTCCCTTCCGCATCAAGACTGTCTTCGCCCAACGTGGCAGCGGCTCCCCCTTGGCCGAGGCCTCCGGGTCCTTCAACGAGTCCCATGGGCTTCGCCAAACCTGCCAAGGTAATGACACAACATGGAGGAAAGTCATTGAGATGTACCCGGCCAGGTGATGAGGCAGACGCAGGAACACACACAGAGAGCGGAGGGAGGTGCGAAGACAGACTGTGCAAAGGGGATTGATGATTGACGTGTTCTAGCAGTGTGCACGGCGGCTCCGAGGCACAGCAGGACTTGTCAATAGGGCATCGTTGTCTGTCAGGGAGAAAGCTGCCCTGAAAACACACCGGAGAGAATCTGTAAGCAGCGGGGGGAAGTCATTATGTGTTACTGTAAGAGTGTTGTTTTTTGTGAACATGTAACTTTAATGCCTTATTAAAAAGTAAAATATTCCTACTACTTAGGTACTTTAAGTGATGTGCTTCAGTACATGTCAAGTCACATTACAGAATAAGAAGCAACGTCATATGTTAAAGTCATGATGCAGGGTAAATGTATGAAATATAAAATGCTGGGATTTTGAATCAGCTCCAACACAAGGCCACCGGGTTTGAATTGAGCCACTGATGGATCCATGTGGCAAATTATAAAAGTATAAAAAGTGTGTTGAAACAATTGCAATTGTGAAGTAATGCAAACGGTGCTTTTGCCATGCAGAAATCATGGATAGCAAACAGTTTCCGTGTGCTTTAATGGTGAATTGGGGCCAGTCCTTAGCCAGCCCCATAATGTTAGCGTTCTTTGGTCAAATTTAACTAAATTCAGCACAGAATTTAATGTGTCAGACTTAAAATACCTCTCTGCTCTCATTAAAATGACCCATGACTAATTTAACAGAATGTCGCTTTGATACCTTGACAGTAAGATTTTCAAACCAAGAAGGAGAGAAATGTGTGTCATGTCTTGTCTGATCTTTGAAAGAAAGAACCTCTTCCAATGATGTAGGAACTTCCTCCACTTTTTTCTCAGTGGGTTTATTTACTGGATGTTTTTTATCAGACATATTGGTTCCACCAGCTGCCTGAAAGGCTGGACCATTTTAAATTCCATGAAACTGCACCATAATTGTTATGTGAGCCGAGCTTCGAGTGTGGCCTCCACAGAAAAATCGAGCCACGTCTGTTCTCCATATCACCAGAAGGACACACAGACAGTGAGTAAACAGTGCATACCAATGAAGAGCTCAGCTCTCGGTTTCAACCCTCCAGGAACTGCGGAGTAATCACCCGAAATTGGATGGCCTCAAATCCTTGGGTGCTGTTGAAGAATGATTGCAAAACTGGCTTCTCCCACAACAGGGACTTTGCATCTCCTGCACCAGCCAATGTGGTAGTATTTTGACAAGTATGGGTGGGGTTCAAGTCCCAGACCGGCCGACTGGTGCGTCACACAATAACACAGAGTTCTGGAGGCTGCTCGGTTTTTCTGGTTGCCCAGATCATTTCACATCTACCTGACGTACACGTCCTCTGCAACATTAAAAAGGAAATTCCGTAATGAAACGAGAAGCCTAAAAATCTGATCCACTGTGATACACAAACATGAATTTAAAGATTGTGGCAAATCCATTAACGATGGAAGGTTTGTATTTGGAATGGTAAAACAGCACTGCGGCAAACGTACGCCACAAACGTAAGGATTATGTTGTCATTCAGCTGCTGACCTGTTTTGATGAGGCCTGGTTGGTTATTTGAGGTTATTATTCTGTCTCTGATTTACCTTTCATGTGCATCTTATTCTGTTGTCAGAGTGATACATTGAATGCATTAAGTTGTGCTTTTTTTTTTAACTCTGCAACATTCATTTCCCGAAATGGGTTGCCAAAAAAACTAAAATAGAACCTTTTAGAACATTGCTTTAAAAAAGGATAAATTGCACCGTGTATTTCTGTGGGCACAGCGAATCACTGCGGATTAAGAGCTCTATTCCCAAGGCGTGAGTTAAAAATGTATGTAGACGTGCAAAGTACTTTATATAAAAACAAGCAGCAAGTGGGCTGTTCTGGCCCAAAAAGGATGACAATGACCAAAGGCCTAAACACAGCCCAATGAAGTGCTGTGACAAAAATAGTGCAACGTCATGAAAAGTCGAAACGACAGTGTCGGGGGAGGTGGTGTTAGGTGATATAAAAACAGGGGAAAAAAATCAATAGTTTTCCAAAAACTCCGGGTTTTATTTCCTCTCAAACCAACATGAGCCCAAAACTGACACAAAGCGACTATAAGTATAAACAAAGTCAACTTTGGTGTCATCGCTTCACCGGCTAGCTGGTCTTCTTTCCTCTTCATTCAAACTTCTCTTCATGCGGTTCTCCAGTCCAGCTCACTCTGTGAGCTTCTCACGGCCGTGTGCTCTCGCTTCTCAGCCGCTTACCCTTTCCTTCTCCCTGCTCGCTCCCAGAGCCCTTAAGTCTCGCCTCGATTAAGTGATCTGACCACCGCACACCCGTGTGGGTGGTGAGGTCTTCTGGGAGCTGGATGGCTTTGCTTCGGCAGCCATTTTGTGATTGGAGGCGGTCAGGCGGACCCTGAAAGGGAACGTAGCGCCCGCCTACTACCCGTCCACTTGCGACTGCACAGCTTTAAAATCGCAATGTGCTTTCCCTGAAGTCGTCTTTCATTCACTCTTCACAGTGTGAGCCCCTTAGTGCTTTCATCATCCCACCAGGAGGCATTTACAAAAGGAGGATGTGGTTCCTTGCATCGTCAGGCGCCAATTTGGACTCATTGTTTGAGTATTCATCTGTCTCTATGTTGGTTTCTCAAAATCCGTTCATCCAAATCCCCCTGACTTAGTATGTTAAAACCCACCATAGCCATGAATCACACCTGAAGAATGTGTCTGATTTGGCCTTTACAAGACAGGGCCTTGAATTCAACGATTATTTTAAATGAATGATGTAAGAGCAAGAGTGGATTTATTCTTGTCCAAAGTGAGGTTCTAAATATTGATGGGCAGGGGACGGTGGAGCCTTTTGTGACCTCTTCAAAAAGAGCAAAATAACTCGATCTGGAGAGTCTAAACATCTGTGACATATTGAGAGCCGGGAGAAGAAGTGAATTAATTCTACTGTAGCGCTGTCGGCCACAACATCAGCAGGCATGTCAAGAAGATAACAACTCAGATTTTAAAATTGGTGGCACTATAACCCCAATTCATCTCTAAACAATGGGTGGTTATGCCTAAGAGAGCTAGCATGACGTTGCATGCACAACAAATCTAAATATATTTTGTGTGAAATAAACATAAAGAGAGGTACTCTTTATGTTTATTTCACACAAAATATTAATATATTATCTTCTGTGTTATTTATTTTGTTCTCCTGTGTATGCGTTAAGATTTTTACCTCAATTAATCTCATAAAAACGAAATCAAGGGGAGAAGGTCAAGACAATTATGATTTTTCTGTAAAAACAAATAAGCTACAGAGAAAAGGAGTATCACCATTTTCGTGTACTTCTTCATTAATGCAGTTCATTATAATTTTCTAAACGGGCAAATGGTGCAGAGTTGACTGGCCAAGCTGAAGTATATCATGAGGTGTAAATAACACCTGTGACAGTCATTCAAGATTTATCCATCAACACAGAACCAAAGCAAATAGCTGGACATCAAACGTATCGCCTGTATTTACTTAAATTCCCAGCATTTTTGCGCCATATAAAGCCATGTTTAACTATTATCTTAACTACAAGTCTGAAAAACGATAGCGATGAAGCAGGATCCAATTAAAAGGAGCACCATCATTTTGAAAGGGGAAAAAAATATTACTGCGTAAGCTCTAATGCTGTTTGCATCAGTGTGCGTTTTTGTTCAACTCTGGTTAATGTGGTTGCATCTGTAAGAACGGTTGTCCCGAAAAACTTTTTGTGAAAAGTTCAGAAAGGCAGCGGAAATCCATCAAATCCTCAATCATCTCACCTGCAATGCTGACGCCGATGTCCCTCCTTCATCAGATGTCATTGTTAAAGGTTGTTAAAGTAGTCACGGCACGACAGTGTGAATAAGATGAACGCTCACCCCATTTCAGATTGCCATCATTATCTGTGTCTGGCTGCTGATTGTGAAGTTAGCTGCTGAATTCATTATCATGATTCAAGAAATGAATTGAAGAATTGAAAATAATTGATTCTCATCGGACTCTGAAACTGTTCTGTCGACTGGAGCCTCATCTACATATCGTTAATGGAATATATTTACATTCGTCAGGCTTCACCGTGATTCACCGCAACCGCCTCCATCACGCATCGCACAGGGCGCGATGTTTATCACTAAGGTGCGGTCAGAGCATCACGAGAGGTAGTGAGTGACATTTCTCATTTCTCATCAAGTCTTTGCTCCAACGGGCTTAGCATATAAACAGCCTTAGTTTCTTTGTCATAATTGGGCATTTTCAGATAAGAAGCATATCTGCTGCTGCAGCCGAGCCTGTGAGGCTGCCATCCCATCAGCACCCGAGCACTGCAAGTGACATGCATGTCTGATGGCAACAGCCTCAGAGGCGACATGAGCTGAGGGACAACAGCCGAGCTCAAGCAATCACCCATGCAGCGCCGGTCAGCGGAGTTAACTCAATAGCAGCACATTCACTCGCTGCTAGGAATGTTTAAAAAACATTTTTTTTAAGAAGCATATTTTTTGAGCATTTCTGCTTCAACTGACTGATATGAGTAATCCACTCAGTACAACCGTAAGGCCATCAGAGAGCGAAAATGTGTAACTGATGTTATTTGTTTATTCATTTGATGTTTTTCTTACTTGCATACATTTTCATATACAAGACTTGCAAATGAACATTTGCTTTACCCCGTCAGCAGGGTACACTAAAGGTCAACTCAAGATACATTTACCATCAACTGAATGTTAGTAACTCAGTTAGCTGTACTGGATACCATTTCTCTGACATGACTTCAGCCAGAAAACTTACCTAACAGTTATTTCCTAATCAGTCAAACAGTAAAAAAAATGCATATCTATATTTTTTGAATAGCTGCAGCCAATCTTATTAGTATTAATTTAAGCCAGGCAGCCTAACAGGGCTTCAGCTGGTCAGTCACAGGGAGGACATATGTTTGGTTTTTAATGCAGTACTTAAGGTCAAAACTCGGCCTTAATACACTTGTTAACAAGCTTAAAACCTCTCGTCTGATTACCCGAATACGGTGGCAACTGCGTGAGAGCAGTGCTTCTGTTTCTGCGCAGAATGAGCTGTAGATAAATCTGGACCATTGTTTTCCTGTTGGTAGTCCGTCTGACCTTCCATCACACGACTATAAAAAGGGAATTTTGCGACCTGTTTATGTCCTTCAAATCTAATTGGAGCTTGCTGTAGCTCCCGTGGCATACCATTGCTGGGCAATAAACAACAGAGGGAATGGGCAATTACACCACGTCGCTGCTGGACATGGAAATAGTTATCGGCGCGCTGAGTCCTTCTCTGAGCGTAGTTATTCCCAACAGCCATGGAATACTATTTGTGGTCTGCGCACGACTTAGAAAAAAGGGGGCAGTGACCTGGTATATGAGGATATGATTAAGTATGCCATTAAAGAGCTCAAGACAAATCGTGGAGCGGTGGTGACAGCCAGAGATTGTTTCCAAGCCCGTGTGCACTCCTGGCTACACACAGCGGACGTCAAAGAAAAATGACGTACCTGCAATGGAATCTCATTTTCGTCTCAGACTTGGATTGTGTTGAAGAGCTATGTGCCTGTGTCGAGTTTGTTTGCAAATCGTATATATTTTAATTAGTTTGAAGTGGTGAATCCAGCTAATTGAAAATGTGAAGCTCAATTTAGAATCCAGTGTAACACCCTGACTTACAATTACAACTGTTAAGCAATAGAGGAAGAGAATGTGTTTCAGCCAAGTCTCAAATCCTACCACTCAAAATTGAGACAAACTAAAATAATTCGTAATCATTTTCTGCTTGGACAATTTCAATGTGTAATGACATATGGAACTTTAGTAAGTGGCCCCGATGCTTTTTTCTTTTTCCTTTAGCCCGAAAAGGGTTTTTCAAAAACAGACGGTTTCTTTCTGTCCTACAGTGAAATGATGTGGGGTTGCCTTGTCTCCAAATGACTGAGAGGACACATTTTACTCTTTGAGAGGCAGGGCCTGCTGGCTGGATGGCCAGATGCCGAGTATAACTGACAGTGACAGAGTGGCCGTCAAAACACTGCCGACGCTTGGGCGTAATAACAAAATCATGCAGAACCAGTTTCCCGCACTGGGGCTGTGCGAAGCTGTGAAACCGATTGATGAGCAAACTGTCAAAAGGACTGTCGGAGCACTATTTCTGGATCATTCGAACATTCAACAAGTTATAAAAATGCTTACTTTCCGTATATGTTTGAATTCAGGGGTTTTACAGCATGTGCAGGGCTGGATTGCAATTAAAAGGGTATTTAAATGTCTGCGCCCTCTACTGGTGAGAAGCATTAAATAGAATTCAAGACACCCCATCCATCACAGAAAAGACCATTCTGAGGAGGAGTAACAGGCGGGCAAAAGGTTTCTGCTTCAATAGTAACCAGCTCATAATATGTCCACCATCACCGTCAAGCGAATAGGTTAAAGGATACAAATATCAATCAGTGGGTCGTTACTACTGGAGCCGACTCTCTGCATCAAGACCTGTGTGCGTTCAAGACCTGATCTGATCTGTGGAAATATAAAACACTACAGACACTGAGGAATGTCATCAGAGTTGTGGGAGGAGAAGTACCCTCAACGTTCTGCAAGTGAGCACCGTGTACTTCATAATATACACAAAAAACGCTCTTGAACTACATTATAAAGCCTTTGTATTGGCCACAAATGTATATGAGAACAGTAATTGAGTGAAAGCTCTTTAACACATAGAAATGTAATGCTTTAGCGTGATTTAAAGCCATCACGTTCAAAAAACTAATTTGACTTTAAATGTATTAAATTATAGATTTGGAAAATCTTGTCCTTGTCAGCCCTTTCACGGATATGTTGGGATAATGCCTTGACATCAGTTGTGATAGTGTGTATTTCCCAGAGGGGAATACAGGTAATACACATATCAAACGTAACCTGATTTTAAATGTTGCTGTTCTGCTGAGGCAACCAGACCTGCCCCTCAGACTAATGGCCGTGTAATGAAATACAGGTCCGTCATTCCTTTATGGAGCCATTACCTGATACTCCCCATCAAAATTTAGACAGCCTGTTCAATCTGTTATGTTTCAGTGCGTCCCAAAATTTGAGCTGCTGCTGTGCCACTGACTTCCACTGAGTGAGATTCTACACAGAACAGAACACAACTACAGACATCTACTTAAGTTTATGTGAAGTTTACAACAAGTCAATTGTGAGTTTAGGGTCTTGCGATCTGACAGGCTGTTAAAGTAACAGCCTAGTAAAGTCTGTTAATGCAATACAAGCACATACACCAAGTACTGTAAAACATCGGCATTCTTTCCTAACAAGCAGGGCCTTTATCACATATCACATCACAATTTTTCATATGTAAACTCATCCGCTTGTTCACTGTCTTTTAGAGACAGAAGAACGCAGGCTGACAGAAAAATATGCATGAGTCATGGTTCAGGTACAAACAAACCCCACAGCATGCAGCCTAGTGTGCACTTTTTGTATTCTGAAACAAATGGAACCGTACGATGGTGCTCTACAATGCACACAGTCTGCCTACAGTCACAATTCATAAAGTGATTAATTTGCTTCATCGTGATGATGACTTCGGTAGGTCTTTTGATATTGAGATGGTCGAATCCTTATCCTACCGTTTAACTGGTTGTAGACCACATCCTCCAGCCTCTCCAGCCGCTGGAGAATAGACTGCCTGTCCACCAAGTTGGAAACTTTGCCAGTCCTGGCTCGCAGCCTCTGGTCGGACATACGCCCTATCTGGATGAGCTCCTCGGACCGGTCCTGGATCCTGCAGTAGACCGAGAACAGGATGATCCCCACAAACACTAAAATGTTGACGGTCAGCAAAGTTTTGATTTTGCGTGCCACGGCCATCAAAGAGAATATAGTCCGGCTGACTCAGTCAAGCCCAGCAGCTGTCCATGTGCGGTGGCCTGCTTTTCCACCGTGATGCGGGAGGAGGATCTTCTGCTCGCTGTGGAGAAGGTCAACTCCTGCAGACCCGAGGAGCTGTCGGTTCAGCACCACGGACAGCGGCGGGGAAGGTCGCCGCAGGCGGCCACGGCTCGTGGCTGCAGCCGGTGAGCGAGGTTTTAATTTTAAAAAAGGGCTCCTTTAACTAAGAGAAACAGCTGCACGCACGCTACGCGGACGTTCGAGCTACATATTACAAGCTAGACACAACGCCGATGGGAGAGCATTCATCCTTCAGAACATCCCGCGGGGGTTGAAAAACATCTTTCTGTCCATCTTACAGGGGACGCGTCGCCATGACCGCTCGCGTCGAAACATCCTCCGGCTGCTCCGTGGGATCCTCCCCCCCTCCCCTCCTTTTTCCGGCGGTGTGGTCACTTGATCCGTCCCGCTGTGTAAACATCAACCCGGGGAGCTTATGTGCAAAGAATATGTGCATGCTTCAAAAACAAGGCGGCGTCTCTCTCCCCCCTCTCGCTCTCTCTCGCTCGCTCTCGCTCTGCCTCTCTCTCTCTCTCTCTCTCTCTCTCTCTCTCTCTCTCTCTGCTGTGTTTTTGCTCGGTCAGTCCTGTTTCCCTGGTCGGCGGTGCAGGGTGACTTGAGAGCAGATTTGCCCTCACATGCGGGTGGGAGAGCTGCAGCCGGGCTCTGGCATCACCCCCCCCCCTCCCCCAAACCCTCCCGCGTCCTGATATTTAGAGGCTCAGTCATGAATATTCACCAGCAGGATGGAGGAACCCGCACGACTGTGGAGGCAGCTCATACTTGCGCTCGGTGGAGCGACCCTACCCCCACGTATCTGTTGGTGAACTGTGAAAATGTTAAGATGTGTTAACAGATTCTTTGTTACTTGATCCGTAAAGTTTCCGCCTCACCTCCGATGCAGCAGGAGCAGCTTAAGTTGTTTATAGGGTCCAGTGTGCGTGTAATGCAGCTGGCCGTGTGTGCATGGTCAACCTCAGGAGTGTAATTATCATTTCACTAATCGCATGCACGGGTTGTACTTCACCATTAGAACTACCAAACACAGTGAGACAGCCATGCAGATTCAAACCGTCAAACAGGAGCTATTACAAATCACTCTCCTCACAAATAAATATACTGTTACCTCTGAGCGTCTCACCTCCAATTCCTAATGAATAATGAATGAAAGTAAATTACACACAGTGAGATTTTGTCAGACCGTGTGCTTTCACTTAATTAGTCAAAAATCAGACGGCAACTCTCGCAGATTACGGACTTCATCAGAGGATGTCATAAAGGTACAAATGTTGTTCCGCACATCTTGCAGGGATCTGATGGATGCAGGTCGCTCTTTTTAAACGCATTTTGGTCCCCGCCAAGGATTTAGTAAAGTAATGACTCTTCTGTAACAAAGTACTCCAGTACATGTTCACGAGTTAATCAATGATTTTTAAGGCTAAGTATCTTTGCAGGGCTGAGAAACTGCAAGTAATCGTTCTCTGTTGGTCCATCACTAGCAACGCATGTCATGTTGTACATTGGATCTTTTGAATTTTCATTTGTGCAGCCTTAAAACATAACTAAATATAATACCCATGGATGTAAGAAATAAAGGCAGTGTGGAAGAAAAGTCTTTGCCCCAAAGAGGATATGAAAACATGGTAGTAAGTGCTTTATTGGGCCCCATATAGTACACTACACTGGGGTTTTAGTGCAGCGGACGTTCTCGTCATTAGAAGCTGAGCAGAGTTGGGTAGAGTCCTACATGGCCTGGCAGAGTGGACACTTTCAGACAAGATGCTATTAAGCAAGGGAAGCCAGATGTCAACAGATCATCGACATGCACTGCATTGCAGGAATACATTCAGACGCACAATGAGAGCTCAAAATACATTTTCATCAGCTCTTGTGTTTCGGTAGTGTATTTAACATACAGTATTTAACTAACCACATGCCAACTTGTGTGCCCTTGCTATTGTAATCAAATAAAGCTTATTTTTGTATGTGTAAATGAAATGGAATGAAAGTAAGACCTTGTGGTGTCTTTAAAAGTTACTTTCAGTGTAGTGTTAACTTAAAGTTGCGAGCACAAAGAAATATATGTTAGTTTCAAAAATGTAATCATAAAAGTGTGTCCTTCCTTTGTACTGCGCATTTTCTGGAAAAATATGCAAGGTTTTCTTTTTTCCTCAGAGAATGAGTTGTTTCCACCATCTGTATTCACACATCTCATCTCATATGCATAACATTTGGATTTAAACGCAAACAATAGTATTCACTGCAAGCTGCATCAAGGTCACTGTGAGCATTGTAAAAAGAAAGAGAAAAAGGAAACTGACAGTTCGGTTTCATTAGGAACATTGGTGCTGACGTAGCTCAGCCAATTATTCATGTTTGTCCGCATCCGGCTGACATGCAAACTTGCTGTGTCGCTTTTAGAATAAGGGACCCAGTGCGAGACACTCTGTGGTCACTAATGTAGTGAGCTGTCTGCTCTACTGCCGGAGCTAAGTTCATCCATTATCACTTTGACCCGCAGGCTAACAGCTAAGCCCCAGTTCTGTCTGCCTTAACTTAGCTCATTCGCATTCCACCTACAGCCAATTCTCCCCACTGGGCTGCTGTGTGAACAGTTGATTTGCTTAATGCCTTAAATGAGTTTATATAATAACCCCGGATTGATCAAGCCACAGGCACATGTAAATATATTTTAGTTAAATATATATATAGTTGAAGCAATACTGCAAACAGCTGAATTTCTATCGTGGCGACGGCCTCTTCAACACACAATGCGCTCCTTGACCTTGGCAGACAACTGTGGCTATAAACACAATGCATCACTCAGTGGCAACCTAATAACAAATGTAAAGTGCTTTTCTCAAGTGGGGACAAGGAAAACCTTGGTGTTAATGAGACAAAGACAGAAGCAGCTTTGCTTCTGTAGACAACAACAAAACAAAGGCAGGATTTATCAGTGTATGAACTACCAAAACCCTAGAGATGTCCACATGGGACATTTAAGGAATATTTAGGATTTCATTTGTCAATATGGACATAAGTCTCCTTGCAATGTGTTTGTATAAATGGGGAAGGAGCTCTCCGGTTGCACTCAAATGTTTCTTGATTTATGGCAGAAGAAATTACATCTTGCCCGTGTACCGATGCTTGATGGGCGAATCAGTGCAGGTAATTACAAAAGACTAATGAAACAACGAGTCAAGGGAATGAATCCCTGCATCAAAAAATGTAATGAAAGATAAACGGACTATCCATATTAGTCATTATGCTGGGAAGATTATTGTCCTAAACCCCTGTGTACACCAGCAATGGACTTTTTTTTAATCAAAAGCCATTATTCTGCTGACACCTTCTACTCGTCTGCAGATTGATTGATATTCCATGCCTCATGAACTTTCCTCCAGTTTATATTTCATTTTCTTGTTGAGACAACAGATTCGCTGGGGAAGAAAGGAGCTATTTAGGGTTTTAAAAAAATAATACAGAAATTAAAATGCACGCTAAAGAACAACACACACACACACACATATCAGGAACAAATATATGGCGCTCCATACGTTATCTAATTGGTGCATTACAGTGCATTGATGGAACTGTTTGGATTTCTACACGGTCAATGCTAAACCCTTTAAAGCAGAATGAGCTGTAATTAAAAGCAACAAAAGCTCATACCATATTTTGGGCTCTGGAGACAAAGAAGACCTTAATCTTCCTGGAATTATTCAACATGTTTGAGGTCCTGTCTGTAATTTCAAAAACAAATGCAAATGTAAAAATCATGCTGCTTCATTCTCAGTGAAAATACTGTTGCAACCAGTGCTGATTAGCACAGAAGGCCTGAAGACTGAACTAGCACGTCACATTTCTTTTAATACATACAATCATGCATAGAATACCTAAATTGAAAACCCAAATAGTGTAATGCCCGCTAAATAATTAGTCAAAATTCACTTTAATCCTAACAAAATAGGACATGTTTAAATGTTCACACACACACACATTTTGTGTAAAATAAAAAATGAATTGCCATGAAATCACTTTGGAAATATTACTGAGAAGAATAACTTAGTAACAATATTTGCCATGGTGTGATATGTTATACAATGAGGACACGGCCACAATATTGCACAGCTATATGATAACAACAGACATTCTTAAGCTTTCATCATTAATGCTTTATTAACACAACTAACTTATGGTTAAGCTGAGGATATTTTGAAAGTTGCAGACAGAAAGCCACTAATTCATTACCATTTCTTGTCTATCTGTGGCAAAAAATAAGCAGCAGCCAACATCTAATCCAGTGCTCCAATCACAGACCTGCAGCAGTCACAGAGCTAGTGGCTAATCAGTAAAGAAAAACACACACGCACAAACAAGCCTACATGTGCGTGCAAACCAGTGCTTGCATAAACAATGTGGCACACATTGATGATGGCGCTTCCTCAGTTAAAAAAAACAAAAAAACATTTGCCAATTGCTGACAGAAATTCATTCAAAGAAAAACATTGAATAATTTAATGAAACTGTTCAATGCTAAAGATATTGTAAATCATTCTGGCATATGATCTTAAGATATGTATCAAACCGAATATATTGCAATTTTGTACATAGAGTGTGCATACATTTCCTCACGTTGCTGTGATGGCTTCCATCACTGCAGCCGGTGCTCACTTCAAAAAGAACAAAATGGTTGTTGGGCGCTTGGATTAAAGGATAAAGATGGCCAGACTGGATCGGAGTGGAACAACACGCTGACCATTGTTAAGTAAACGTCACCGCCTGAAAACCTTACTCCTAAATCCGAGCATTTGCAAGCTGCCTTGGATGAAGACGCCATGTTGCAGTACATCCTCTTACTGCCACAGAGAATATGCTGCTGTGAATGGGGCTGACAGAAAAGTATTTTGCCATTTACCAGGAATAAAAAAGAATAAAGTGTAGCAAACATGCATCAAAGCAGCATGTCCGGTCCCTCCCATTAAACCTTTTTTATGCTCAATTGTAATCAAAGGTAGAGGCGCATACAAAGCAGCATGTCTCCCAGAGAAAATAAGCATGTGGGTCTGCTGTGGAAGAGTGCATGTGGGAGGGTGTAAAGAGGAGGGGAGGGTGGCAAATTACCGTACAGCCGCGCAATGGGTGAGGTGTGCGTGGAGAGAGGGTGAGCCACAGGGGGGTTGCTGAGGCTGGAGGTGGAGACGGGTGCAGAGGACTGCAGGTCATCGCTCGTCCTCGCGCTGCTCTCTATTCAAAATCCACTCACACACTCCGCACTCCCCGATGGCTGATTAAAGGGCAGAAAGAGAGCAGGAGACGGAGGGAAGGGGCGGCTAGGGGCCGGGTTTGTGGTGGGGCACCTGCCCCCCCCGCCCCCCCTCCCCGAGGTGCCAGTCTGAATGTTATCTTTGAGCAAGAGTTGGGATGAAATAATGGTCCACAAAGTGTGTTTATGAACACATACTTGAGGCCTTGAGCCTGAAAAATACATGTTTATTTATTTATTTTTTT